TGGTCAACGATTTTCGACGCCAGAAGAAGCAGTTGATGCGTTCAAAACACACGTTTTGGAGATATCGGTTTCGGAGTGGCATGAATGCTACGGAAAGTGGTTCGAGCGTATGCAAAAGTGTATCGACCATCATGGCGAAAACTTTGAAAAACAATAAAGCCATTTTTGATAAAAAACGATTGCGTTGTATATGCTTTTCTAGAAATATATGGAGCAGCCTACGTAAGTGCCCTATAGTACAGGTACTGTACGAAGACATTTGTCAATAGGCGCACACTTCTCACTGATCCCTGAAAAAATCATTTTTGAGAAATACCGGACGAAATTTGACCGAGAACCTAACACGTTAACTAAATTCCTTTCATATATTATCAATATTATAATCAAGCGGACGGCAGTTCGTGCGAGTGACGAAACCACCTCAGTGTGTTGAAAAGTCGACTTGCTATATATACACGTAATTTCCAAATTCTAACCTGGAAGGCCTTTAGCCGCGTATGGTTACTCAGCCATAGACTAGTGGTTAGCGTGCCAGGTTTGTGAGCGTGAGGACACGAGTTCGATTCTCGGTCAAAATTCGTCCGGTATTTTTCCACCGTGATTCGCTCAGGAATCATCGGTGGTTTAATGAAGGGAAGTTTGAAAGAAGTCTGATACTTGTGGAGTGCTTCGGAGGGCACTTAAAGCCGTCGGTCCCGTGTGTGTGCACAACGAAGATATAGGTTCAGCACAGACACACGTAAAATAGAGTGCCTTCGCGTTAGGTTGGTGTCTTGGATGATCCACGACATCTACCGTGAAAAGGTAGTACTGAACTACTGGTCAATATACCGGTAAATCAGTGGTCAGTAAATCAGTCTCTATTGAAAAGAGAATCCAGTGCCATCTGGAGTTTGGCATAAATCGGGCGTATTGCAATAGGTTAAAAGACCTGAGCAACGAGGAACTATGGATATTGCTGGATAGCAGACATAGTACACTCCCTGATCTAATCCAATAATCCAATGGTTGGAAAGCCCTTGGGCCATAGATCAAGAAAAAATATAAAAGTTCGAAAATCGGTCCACCTGTCTTTAAAATATGGTCCTTTCAAGAAAAGGGTCAAAATTCAGTTTTATGCCCATAGATGGCACAGCAGAAAACATTTGTTACACAAAAATAACAATGTTACACAAAAGTGACAAATTTTACACACGCGTGTGACAAATTTTACACAAAAGTGACAAACTTTACACAAAAGTGACACTTTTTACATGACAAATGTTACACAATAGTGACAAATTTTACACACGCGTGTGACAAATGTTACACAAAAATGACAAATTTTACACAAAAGTGACAAATTTTACACAAAGTATCAAATTAGCAAAATAAATAAAATGGTTGGATTGGTAATCTGTGTAAAATGCAAATAACGATTTTTTCAAAAAAAAATATTTCACATTTTTGAGTTTGAATTCCCGTTTTTATTTTTATTTAATTTAACTTAACTAAAAAACTTAAAATTCAAAACACACGAGAGTAGTAAAATAAAATGTGAACTGGACCAGTTTAATTGCGACAACACCATCCGCCATTTTAATTTTATTATTGGTTTAGTTCGATTGATTCGTATGCAGTGCGACGAATTTTCTAGAAAATATTTTTCTTTCATTTTCATAATTTCGTTGTTTTCAAATTGTTCCCCCGCCAGGGATATATCAATGAAATTCAATTCAAACTTGAAAATCTGTCGAAACATTTACTTAATTTTTTCCCTCCTTCATTTCGTTGCTCAAATTGTTCCCCCGCCAGAGCTATTAATGAAATTCATTCAAAACTTGAAGAAATACCGAAACAAAATAATCAAATCGAGACTATCACAAAAATCATGCGCATTGTCTAGCGAGCGCCAAAAAACATCATCTTACACTTTTCTCTGTTCTCTTACTTCATACGAAATTCCTATTACGAAAGAACAACAACAATTGTATGGCTGAACTCAACGGCAGCAGCATAAAAGACTACTACTACTACAAGCTCAAACAACGTTGTCGATCGTATATTACATGCTTCTACTGACTCGCCAGCAGAAATGATGCGTGTGTAGTAGTTGACTTTCATAAAGTTGCTGTTTGAGTGTAGCCATACAACTGCTGTTGTTCTATCGTATGAAAAATGTAAAAATATTTTTTTTTGAAAAAATCGTTATTTGCATTTTACCAAGATTACCAATCCAACCATTTTATTTATTTTGCTAATTTGATACTTTGTGTAAAATGTGTCACTAATGTGTAAAATTTGTCATTTTTGTGTAAAATTTGTCATTTTTGTGTAACATTTGTCAAAATTTGTGTAACATTTGTCACACGCGTGGGTAAAATTTGTCACTTTTGTGTAACATTTGTCATGTAAAAAGTGTCACTTTTGTGTAAAATTTGTCATGTAAAATTTGTCATCTTTGTGTAAAACTTGTCACTTTTGTGTAAAATTTGTCATTTTTGTGTAAAAATTGTCACACGCGTGTATAAAATTTGTCACTTTTGTGTAACATTTGTCATTTTTGAGTAACATTTGCCGGCTGCCTAGATGGCACTAAATGAGTTCGTTGACACCTAAAACATCGATATTCTGATTCTAGAGCTCAATACCTTTCCAACGATACCTCAAACGTCAAAATCGATCAATCCGTTCGAAAAATTTATTATTTTAAAAATTTCATATGAATTTCTATGAAAAATCAAAATGTCTGTGTGTCTATGCGCAATTTTGCGTACTTGTTTCTGATCTTTTTGAAACTTTCTGTGATTAAAGTATACAAAAAACTAAGTATTTTGGTCCGGCACTTTTCGATATGGCCATGGCCGGCCTCTAAAAGTCACTTTTCGACTTTTTTTCCTATGGTCACCGAAGCGCCATGACTTGACACGCCCCAGACATATGCATATCATTGGAAAGGTCTTGAAGTGAGCTATCGAATGGAGTCATTTGCGGTCCAAAAATTTCAATTTGGAGTGGCCGAATTGGCCAAAAACCAAAAAGTTACCGTTTGGCCGGACACATAATGGTCATTAGCTCGAATACTAGCCTTTCATGGTCACTTGAAAATTTCACCGATTTTTAGGCCCAAGTCGCATCACTTATATCCCTAAAAATTCTTGTCTTCACGATATGGCCTTTGATAGTGCGAATATGGCCAGAAATGACAAAAAAATTTATTTTTAACATTTGAAGTATTTTATGGGCCAAAATGTACTCCAATGAATCTTTAAATATGCTCTGTGACTAGCCAAACAAAATTGAACAAAATATCGACCGTTTTGGATGGCTATTCCACCGAAAATCGGCCAAATGAACCAAAATGTCCGGGGGGTACATATGCATATCATTGGAATGGTTTTCAAGTGAGCTATCGAATGAAGCCATTTGCGGTCCAAAAACGGCCATTTGCGGTTCAATTTGGAGTGGCCAAATTGGCCAAAAACCAATAAGTTACCGTTCGGCCGGACACATGACGTACATTATCTCGAAAACAAACTCAAGGATTTTTTTGAAAATTTCACCGATTTTAGGCCCAAGTCTAAGCTATAATATGCAGCATAGCTCATATCCCAGAAAATTCTTGTTTTCAAGATATGACCTTCGGTAGTGCGAATATGGTATGTATAAATTTGGTCCAAAAATAACAAAAAAAAAAAAATTCAAATTCATGTGTCTTGAATCTTTAACTTGGAAAATAGCGCTTACAAAACTATTGATATCAAATAAAAAACCTCTATCAACGTGAAGAACGAGTAACGAAACCAAAATTTGAAACACAACATTTCTGATATCAATTTTGTGACAAAAATAGTTGGTAGATATATTTTCTGTGTACTGTGAATATAAACTTAATATACATTTGTAAATTCGGAACGTTGCTTCATTGCATCAGTATGAACTCAAAGTAAAAAGAACAGAATTTCTGCAACGTTTCGATTATACAAATGTATATTAAGTTTATATTCACAGTACACAGAAAATATATCTACCAACTATTTTCGTCACAAAATTGATATCAGAAATTTTGTGTTTCAAATTTTGGTTTCGTCACTCGTTCTTCACCTTGATAGAGGTTTTTTATTTGATTATTATTTACTGGAATATTACCAAAAAAATTTCAAAATGTACAGATATATTGTATATATAAAATAAATATTTATTTAAATGAACCGTTAGGCGAAGGAACGCAGTCATTATTATTATTAATATTATTCCTTTCCTCATATATCCACTACAGTACCAAATCACAATTTTCGAGCAATCCAACCCTATTTTTTTACTCTCTAATGGTTCTTGATAATATAAAAGTTCACACAGACTAGTCTAATCTATATGATTAGAACTATTAATATTGTTCCTTAAAAAAATAATTTATTCCTTTGTTTGTTTGTTGATTTCAATGACGTTTGCGTGCATAAGTAGTAATTAGCCATTAGATTGGCGAAACAATTTTTTCATGATTACATTTATCATATACAGATCGATATATGACTGATATATTTCTGGACATAGAGTTCAGCCGAGTTCAGTTTTTTCTTATTCTAACTGCCGTCCGCTGTGATCAACAATCGAATAAAAAAAATTGATTTATTAAATACAATTTAAGGAACAATGTTAATCATTAAGTCTGTCTTTAGAGTGAACTTCCGTATTATCTAATCGATAATATAAATGTTGTAACCTACTCCCATTCATGTTTCTCTTGTTCGAAAGCACGTTTGCGTTCCTCCAACTCACGAATTTGCATTTCTAATGCCTAAAACGTACAATAAAAAAGACGAAAAAAATTATTAGTATAAAAATGTTGAAATTTTTGGGCTTTCAAAAAGTCAAAGCACGATGTTGGAAAGCAACGTTAATAGCCAAAGCAAAAATGGTATAAATTTGAGTAACTTTAACCATAGACAGTACAAATTTGAGTCACACAGAGGACCATAGTGAAATTGCTGCGTTGCCCATCCGTCATTATAGTTGTGCTTTACAAAATTTTCTTGAGTTTTTCTCACTTAATAATTTATTACCTTCTTGCGTTCTTCGTGTCGTCGTGTCAGTTCGGCTTCGGAATCCTTGAGTTTTTGTTTTTTCTCTTTGACTTTCATTTCGAATACTTGTTCCATTTCAGCTTCCATTTTTTTCATCTTCATGTCATGCTCACGTTTCTCTTCTTCCATTTGAGCCAAAGGATTCCTGAATGCAAACAAAAGAAAATCATTTATAATATTTTGCACACGAGAAATTTATAACAGTAAATTCATTCTCGAATTCATTTTTACTGCAAGATAAAAGGAACGTGCCACAAATACAATATTTTTTTGTTACATTGAGTGTCAAACAAAAGATAGTGTGCTTAGCCGCTTTATGTATATGTAAAAAGAATTCAATGTATGATTTCAACATATTTTTTTCAGATAAAAATGAGTTTTATGTTATATTTTATAGCTTAAGATACGTAGCATTCATATTTTATTATTTTTGCGTTATATGAATATGTAACTCAATTATATTGGAGCTTCAATGACATTACATTCATAATCATGAATAAGAAAAAAACAATTCTTAGTTGAATTGACATTGCGGAGACGTTTTATGCAATCGCAACATTATGTTGGCGTTTTGTGTTCCAATCAAACTTTTTCATTATATTTTTCTTACATACACATTTTGACAATTGACTTCAAGCGGGTGATAAGCCAATAGAACAACAAAAATAAACCGAACAAACAAAACACGAGTTGTGAACAAGTAAAAAAACAAAAAAAAACATATATACATATGTTTCATTATCTCACGATACATTTGGATTAAAAGTGTTGATTCGCCTATCAACAGGCGATTTATTCTTTTATTTATTTAAAAAAAATATATATCAATTAACATTTTTCATTTTTGTGTCTGGAGATGGGAGAAGAAAAATTAGAAAAAAGTAAATTGACTCACAAAACACACTTACCACACAGTCATAAACGAGTTCATAACACCTTGATTGCATAAACTGGGATTTAAGGTTTTCCATTTATTAATTTTGGTGAAAAAATCGATTTGGACAGTAACTATTTCAAATTTGTTAACTAACGTAATTAAAAAAAGAGACAAAAGTGGCAACAGCATATAACAGATGCTGACAAATACTTGAGATTTGGTAGTAGTGAATATGGTGTACGTACACGTCGTACACACAACAGCATCAGAGCAACGTCACAGCGACAGCATGGTGATGCGAATGTACGGACATACGAGAAGTAACAACAACATAAGGTAAACGATTTGAATGTTTTAGTGTGACTGTGACAACAGCCCATATGGTGTCAAACCATTCCCAGTGTCAGAACTAAAATTGTTGCGCTAAGAAGCTAGAATTTAATTTTTTAGTTTTTGCACTAGGAATCGTTCACAAACCGACCAAGCAATACCAGAATCCGGAATATATGAATATTTTGAGAGTGAACAGTTGAAACGGAATGTAGAAAAGATGACATAAATCTAAATGTTTACTCGACCCGAAAACAAATCAAAGAAACCGAAAATGGGAGATAATAAACAAAAACGATCATCGTTTACACATTTTACTTGTGTTAAAATTACCAATCCAACTATTCAAGAGAATTATGCGATATTAAAAGTATTGATTTTCAGCATTGAATTCTAGTTATAATTTAACTATTGTGTTTTGCATATTTAACAGGATAGCATACTGAGCAATGAGAAGATAAAAAATGTCCCAGAAGCGGTTTTCATGAGACAAAAAAGACTTCATATAACATTCGGGATGATGCTCAAAAATCACGATCAATGTGCATGGATTGGAAATAATGAATGAAAACTCGAATAGGGCACGAGTAGTCTATGCAAAAATTGAATCAGAAGCTCTACAAAAGTTGCCGTTGGCATTACCAGAGCATTCATGGATGCAGGTTGAATAAAAGGATCGGTTAGTTTTTTTATGTATTGCATTTTGTTCATCGTGAAATGAAGATTAATTCTATAGTATCGAATTTGTATCGATCAGTTTTCCAATTTGCCCCAACTACGAACCGGTCCGCAATCGTGTTCTTTCCGGCACAAATTAAATGAATCTTTTCCTCGGCCGTCCTTCTACGAGTTATTAACGCTTTGTGAGTAAGTATCGTTTGCAATTACATCATTATTATTTTTATTATCATTCATTGTAGACTGATATTGATATATTTATTAATGATGAATTATTTTGTGTTTCTTATCTTTTTTCTGATTGATAGTTGCCTTGGCAACCAGTACTATTCCACAGTAAGTATTTTGTTTTTTTTTCTCTTTTCACAGTAATCAACGATATCAACAGTACTACTACTGCTACTACCAAATCTCAAATTTAAATAATGTTGTGGTGGTCATTGATTTTGCCAGAGTAATGAAACGACAACAACAATAACACGCATTTTTTGTTGGCGAAATTTCCACTCCAGATCGTCACGACATTGGTGTTTTTAGTAAGATATACAGAATCAGTACGTAATGCGTAAAACCATAGAACAAAAAATGAGTAAAAATAATACTCGCAATCAAGAGAAAAAGTGAAAATAAAAGTCAATCATAAAATGAGTGAAAATAAAAGGCAAACACAATTTATGATCGATTTTTATTTTCACTTTTTATCTTGATTGAGTATTATTTTCATAGCATTATGATTGAGGTTTTTTTCAAATTTCTACCATTTTCTACTTTTATTCTAAGCGGTTCATTTCTCATTCATTTTAAATAATATTAACTTCTCATAGGTAAAAGCCAAAGCAAAAATAATTATTATTATATAGGCAGAAATCAATAAATAAAATAATAATAAACGAAAGATATAATAAATGTTATTTATAATATTTATTTTACTCACTTGTTGCTTAGGCGTGAATTTTTGCCGTCTGTTCCGAGACCGGCTAATTTGCGACAACGATAATTTTCATAGTGAACATTATTTGTGACATCCTTCAAATCTTGCAAATGTGTCCGTATGATCATGTTACGCAGTGCAATAAAGTCACAATGATCTAAATTCTCCACTAAAATGACGATTTTTAATGAATGTATCTTCTACGGACGAATGCATTTTATGTTTGTTACCTTCGGCAGTGCCCCAAGGATATCTGCGTCCACGAACCTTGCGACCATCAATTTCTACGACTGTGTTGGCCCCAACAATTGCGAATGGAACTCGGCTTCGGAGCTGTTTCAAAACTTTGGCCTCTTCTTCATCTTCGAGTGGTTCGGGAAAATCGTAGATTTTAATTTTGTGCTGAGCAATTTCATTCAAAATCTGTATAAACGGAAATAAAGTTTTAATAATTATTATATCCTTTTCAATAATTTTAAGAACTTAATTAGTGTTGGGCCCCCTTGATTTTTAGTCACTTACCTGTTTTTTGAATAATTGTACCTCTTCGGGTGTCATGGTATCAGCTTTTGCAATAACTGGTATGATGTTGACTTTATCGCAAAGTCTTTGCATGAATTCAACATCAAGTGGTTTCAAGCCATGGCCTGATGGAGCAATAAAATAGAGACAACTATGAACACGATTATCACTTAATGCTTTACGGTGAACACGCGATTCAGCAGTAAGGAATTCTTCGTATTTTGCTTCAACAAAGTCGATAATTGGAACCCAGCAATTACTGTTGTCAACCGCATCACCAAAACCGGGTGTATCAACAACGGTCAATGTTAAATTGACTCCATTTTCTTTTAATAAAACTTTGGTCGTTTCAACAGCTACCGTTTTTTTAATACGATGTGATGGTCCCGGATGCTGATCTTGATTATAAATATCGGCCAGAAACATTGAATTAATCAATGTTGATTTGCCTAAAAAAATGCAATTAAATTCAATTCATTCTTATTTGACAAAGATTTGGTTTACATGAAATAATTAGATTCATTTCTATTCATTTTTGTAAGCTAATGGATAAATCAAAAATTTCATTTTTGTGTTGTGCAATAGGTTAGGTCAATGGAAAACAAAAGAACCTGCTGTGCAGAAGTTATTCGATATTTCTTCCTCCTTTTTTCAATTCAATTTACTAATTTCGAAAACACATAAATTAGCCGTTCAAAACTACAATAAACCCGATGACTATGGAAACATGGCAAGCGATTACAAAATATAATAATATACTCTAAATTACAATTTAGAGAAACAACAAAAAAAGAATAAATATTAGGAAAATTAAAAAGAAAACATAATTATTTTCATGTAAACCAATCTTTCAGGCTCTGGTAAGGATATCTAATCCAGGTTCTTTTAGCAAAGAACCTTCAGAATCCAAAACTAGATGTGATAGTAACCTAAACCGCTTTCGCCCACAACCATCAATGTAAATTCAAAACCTCGTTTCACTGCCTTTCGATACACTTGATTTGGCAAATTTGCAAAACCAACGTAACCATCAAGCTCCTTTGGCTTTGGTCGACTTATAGCCTGTTGTTGTTGTTGTAATTGTTTTTCTTTATCTAGGCGATCACTAACAATTTTATTCGAGTCCTGGTGATTGTTTTCGATGTTTTTATGATTATAAGCATCCTTTAAGCTGATAGTGTTAATGCTGTTTATGACATTGTTCATTGCCGTTGTTGGTGTGTTCGCATTCGAATGATTATTAACGATTATTGTTGAATTCTTTTCCAATGTTGGTGTTCCATTACCATTTATCTAATTTAAACGAAAAAAAAAATTGAATATTGCAAATGAATTGGGCATTTGGGCTGATTCAGTAATAAATTGCATAAAAAGATTTCAAAAGGATGAAAAATTTGAAAAATTGAAGCATAGATAAGAATATATTTTTTCTATATCATCATGCCAACAATGATGGTGTATATAATAAAATTAAATGCCAGACAAAATCTTTTGAATGTTTCAATTTCAGAAATGGAAACCGTGTCATACTTGCGAACTCAATGATGAATTTACATGATTATTGTGTGGTGGATTCGGTGGGGGTTCCATTGGACTGTGCTGAGATTGCGATTCTGATTTGAAAAACATTTCACGTTTCGATTGTAACTGAAAAAATATCGTATTTTACGGAGAGAAAAAAGAAGGAGAAAACAAAAGAAAGAAAATGATAATGAAAATTAATCGTTATTATTATCTTGTGAAAGTATTTTATCTTTTTCCGTATATTTTAACGTTAAAAAATGTAAGATCTGAGCCATAATTTGCTCATAACAGTGTGAAATGGAACGTTATATGCAAGTTTCTAATAAATGGATTCCAGTGGAAAAAAGTATGATGTAATTTTGTTTGTGATTCACTATTTTTGATGCATTTTCAGCTCACTTGAGTTGTGACACAAATTTTACTGTTTATTCAAGGTGATTGAAGCACTCGATAAAGAAGATCGTCAGTTCTTCTTGCGATATGATCGTAGATAGTTTTTTTTTTTGCAAATAGCACATCACAAATACGATAACCAATCTCGCAAATTGGCATGAAATTCGACTTGAGTGCGATTGGATATAAGAGGAAATAATAATAATAATGATAATTAAAATATCGATCGAAATCGTATTATTAATTTATCGATACCAAGTCGATTGTGCACAACAAATGTTAAGGCAAATGATTCGGTACCATGGCTACTTCTGTTTCGAAGATCGGCATTTTGGGCCATGGTCATTGCACACGCATGCCAAAATAATTGCTTCTTTGTACTACTTTCATGGCTACCAACGTACGTTCATGAAGGTTTTCCACAAGCAAAGGTATGTTATTATGGTTTTTTACTGACTCCGTTAAAAAAAAAAAAAACTCCATTTAGTCTAACCATGATTAACATTTTTTAGTAGTTTGTCTATTTTTCATGTTTTTTACTCTTCATGCAAATTGAAGACCGCCTTTGTTTCATTTTTACACCAATGAAAAGTAATAAAATCTGTTTATGTGTTTCCAGGGTTGGGTTGTGAATATGGTTCCATGGTTGGCGCTGCCGCCATGCATATTTTAGGCAAATATATAACCGATTATCTAATAGCACGCGATTGGCCGGTGACGAGAGTGCGAAAAATTCTACAAAGCTGCTGTTTCATGTTCCAAAATTCGTGATTCCGGCAATTTTAAATGTTTTGCTATTTGAATGGCCAAACCATAATGTTTGCGAAACACCAATCGATCCAACACAACAT